AAATATTTAAATGTTAATTATAGTAATATTTTAATATTTAATAGAATTTTATTGTGATTAGACTGACAAGATTTAAACAAATATATATTTATCACAATATGACGCAACTTTATCATCTAATAAACATGTTATTAATAAAGAATATTCTCCTTTACAAAAAAAATTATTTAAATATAAAAATGCAAGAACTAGAAAATAAAATAAATGTCGTTGACAGTTAGATGGTAGACAGTGAAAAGATTAATGCAGACTTGGATCATCTTCCATCACACAGAAATTTAATTTCAAGGATTTTAAAACGCATCTCTATATGACAGAAAATGTTACTAATGAAATAAAACTCAGAAGCAAGATAAAGTAGGTAAATTACGCGCTTTAAAGTTGTTATACTTACAATGCAGCTTCTCGTCGAGGTTCCCTCGAGACGTAATCGACAGCGCTCGAATAAACTCCTCAAATTCTATGGAACCGTCCTGCGAACAAAAACGAAACAAGTCTCACTACTAAAAACCTAATGATTCTATCAAAGTCTATGACAATGATTTATAATGGTAGAATCATGTTGGACATTGACTATTATCTGAAGCGTATCTGTTTTACACCAACGACGTTTCGAGAGTTCACTCTGATTTCGTTGTCACGATACTAACACATTATTATTATTATTATTATTATTATTTGGGACTAAGCTAACACAGTGTTCCTACACTGGAAACCTACTGCAAGAATCATCTTTCGGGATGATACATATAAACCACGTCACTAGTGCAATTCCAGCTGAAATATCAACAGAAAATCTGCAATGGTAAAGACAGCAAAGAATTTTCACATTTCACGAACTTACAGAATCTACCGCAACTCTTATATTAAATTTATACTCCTCTATTTGGATTGTTACAGGAACATTATAAAAGACAGAGCATTTATTCTTAAAATCGTAATAAATAAACAAATAAATAATTTTAAGAAAGGTAACGCTTTCCGACAACTGTCGCATTTCGATTCGAGTCAAAGCGATAGGTCTATACATTTTAAGTTGTAAAGTCGATTAGAAGTCGATTCTAAAACAGACTGAAAATGGTTGACAGTGTACGATAAACACGTAGTCTGACGTCCTCAAAGAAAAGGGATTACAATACAGTATAAATGTTTTATGGATGCCGACAAACTTTCTTCGGTTCGCAAAGTTGATCATGACCTCACATATTTACAGACCAGTAGGCGTCTCGGACCGTAAGAGACATATTGTCTAGACAGCAAAGACAGGTGGTTCTAGAACGTACAAAAACATATGTTCTTACAGATTGCCTAAATACTAAATAAATTACAACAGAAGTACATCTATATTTATTTTGTACAGTCTATACACAAACGTTTGAAGTTTATTGGTGTTGTAAAAATTATATAATATTAAAACATTTTGTTGTGTAAAA